CATACATCGTACAAAAATATAATAAAAATAATTTAAAAATATATCAATATAGTGAAAGAACATGTAATTAATTATTTTTGTTCTTTTGGTCAATTGTTTATTTGAATTTGCCCATTTAGTTATATGATAAAATATTCAATATATAATCCAAATAATTCAGCACTGTCTGCTTTTTCCTTGATGTTAGTGTTATGATTTCTTACATCAATTAATTTTAAGTATTATTTGCCTACCTGAATGTACTTTTGATTTGTAAAGAGTGATACTCAGTCTTTCTTTGAGTTATTAAAACATACTTCTTTCTACAGAAGAGGTCCTCTTAATTTAGTTTCCTTGTTCTCCATTCATTTTGCAAAGTATTCTCAGCTATGAAATAATGACTGCAGGTATTTGAAGATAGGGCAAACTTTTAAGATTTTACTCTATCTTGTAAAGTCTTAACAATATTACATATAGGGAGAGGGAGTTTGCTGTGACATTGTGTCACCTAGTAATATCAGAAGCTACACCCATAAAGTTTTACTAACATGACTGCTCAAGTGTGGGCTGAACAAGGACACTAATGGACATGCCAAAGTGTCTGGAGAAAAGTCCACATCCTGCATGAAGAATTATAGGCAACCAAAGAAAGCTGGGAGTGGGAGAAGGTGGTCTACCCAAGGAGGAGCACACCAAATGATTGTCCAGTGCCAGAAGGTTAGTCCTGAAAACATAAATACAAATACCATTATATGGATTGAACTGGTGATATTTAGGAATATGTACACACACACACACACACACACACACACACACACACACACACACACACACACACATTAGTGAAAAAAGCCCATGAATTTCAAGGATAGTAGGGAAGGTTCTATGGGAGGGCTTGGGAGGAGGAGAGGAAAGGAAGAAATATTATTATCAGCATTATTTCAAAAGTGCAATAAATTTATTGTAGCTGGAGAGCATCTCTCCAGGTCCCACCAAGCCCCTGCAGTCCCATAACCCACATATAAAATAAACACACAGACACTTACATTATTTAAACTGTTTGGCCTAATGGCTCAGGCTTCTTGTTAACTGTTCTTACATCTTAAATTAACCCATTTCTATAAATCTATACCTTGCCACGTGGCTCGTGGCTTACCAACATCTTCACATGTTTCTTGTCATGGCGGCGACTCCAGTGTCTCCCTCTCTGCCTTCCTGTTCCCTCAATTTTCTTCTCTGTTAGTCCCGCCTAAACTTCATGTCTGGCTACTGGCCAATCAGTATTTTATTGATACAGAGTGATATCCACAGCAATTTATTGCAATAAAATACAATAAAAATAAAACAAAATATTTGAGTCAAAACTCTTCAATCAATTTTTTTCTATTTGTTTTTAGGGTTTTTTTATTTTTTGAAAACTTCATTTATGTATACAGTGTTTTGGAATCATCTCTAGCTCTTCATCTTCTTCCTCCAACCTTTTCCCCCTCCTCCCAATCCATCTGGAATTCATGATCTTTTTTTAATAATTATTGTCATTGAATATATGTGTATATAATACCTACTGAGTCTTATCAACCTTATAACAACCATTTGTTCTCCAGTGTCTCACTAAGCAGGGCGTTGGGGAATATCCATTTATATTCCTGGCTACTGGGTCTTAATTTTTCTGATTTCTTGCCCTCAAATTTCTGTAAGACTCATTATGTAAAGAAAGTATATTTTTCTATAGTTTCGACTGCAGCACTTTTAAATTTCACCGAGTTTCAGAAACTGTTACAAAAGTGGTTAGGGACAAAGCTTGGGCCCCTGCTATCTTAAAACTCTAAGCTTAGCAACCTGTCCTATATAAACCAATGAAAGAGAAAAGTAATAATGAGCAGAGGAAGGAATTTTATTTGATGTGGCCACACTGAAAAGATGAGCATATAGTTCCAGTAGCCTCTACCCTACCTGTCCAGTCCATCTGGGAGTACTTAAGAGATTTAGATATATACAGGGCACGAAATAAACATCCAATAGGAGCCTTCCAACGGAGTCCTTTGCTTATCTTTGATCATGGTCTCACTGGCTCTAGTCTCTTTTGTAAGGTTGTCTGAAAATTTGCCAGAACTCTGTGAATTTTCTTCCCAAGAGAAAAGCTTGCCCACTAGCTGGCATCAAGAACTCAGCCTTTTCTTTCTCCCAGCATGAGATTCCTGGGGAAGTAGACTTTCTTAGAGTCTATTTGAAGAGTCTTAATAGCCAAAAGAGGGAGCAGGGGTGTCTGTCTTTAGAATATCTTCCCTGTTGTCAGAATAGTCAAAATGTTATCTCCTTAAGTTTGTTCAATAACATATATGAGATAATAAGCTGAAATTAAATATTAATAACAAATTAATAACAACTATGTAAGCACTACTAGGAAACCTATAAGTGAAATTTTCAACATTACTCATGTTGCTATGACGGGAAATGCTTATGTTTTTGAAAAACTTCCAAAATGCGGAGCTGTGAAAATTTGTTTAATTGGCTGTTTATTTGTCTACAGAGGCAGTTCTCAACCTGTGGGTTGCAGAGGGTCAACTGACCCCTTCACAGGGGTCGCATATCAAATATCCTGCATATCAGATATTTATATTATGATTCATAACAGTAGCAAAATTACAGTTGTGAAGTAGCAATGAATTATGGTTTGTGTTGCTGCAACATGAGAATTGTATTAAAAGGACACAGCAATGTGAAGGTTGAGGCGAATTATAAAGTATGTAGAACGAAGATTAATATGGGCTGCTACAAGCAAAGATTTCCATGCTCAGTCTCATTCTCAAAGTAAGGCAATGGAAAAGAGCACCATTTAACCTTAATTTGCTGTGTAAATATTGAAAGTAGCTTCAACTTTGATCTTTGCACAGTGACAAGAAGGCTGTGTCTGACCAATTCTCTTATATTTCAAGTTCAGTAAAAAAAAAAATTCTTGCTTATTTCCTGCACATTATTATCATATCTAGTATGAATAATAATCATTCTAAAGTTTTGCATTGAAGAATACTGTAGAAATCTTTTTCCATGTATCAAACGTGATAATTACATGCCCTATTCAATTGTATGATATTTATTGAGCAAAAGAAATGCTGTTCAGTTGTGGTCTGTCTTCACTGTGCTCTGCTTTGCAGACTATGCCCTGAGGAGGAAAATTCTAATTGTAGATATTGCAGGTCAGATCTTAAGAGTCTTTTACTATTTAAGCTATTCTCTCTGGCAAAGATGCTACGATATCAAAATTTTTCATTCAATCTTGACTATTTATTCCTTCTTGCAATTATTATCTCATATGTTGTTAATGCAAAATAAGTAAAAATGTAAAAGTTTGTGTTTTTCACATACTTGTTCTGGGTAACAAAGCAGCTAGAAATGACTAGCTAGGTGAATAACAGGAAGGTACAGGTCACCTTGTTGCCACAGGACGAAAATGTGCTATAACACTAAGCAGACTCAATTAAGCATGGGTACTCAGCTATTGTTCTGAGCTAAGCAGGCCATCTTCCATTGTGCATTTTCAGACTGTCCAATTGCACAGAGCTATTCAATGAAAAGAATAGTCAAGGCACCATGCAGTATAATGGCTTCTGTTTATTTAACCAAAAATGTATCAGGTGATCTAATTTTTCTCCAGTGTAATATTAATATTTTTATTGATTATTTGGGAATTTCACACAAGACACCCCTATCACACTCTCCTTCCAGTCCTCCCAGGTCCACGCACCCTCCCCAGTGTTCTACCCCCAAAATACACCAAGTGCAATCTGTGCTGTCCATTCAGTCATTGGGGCATGGTCACACTCCCAGTGGCCTGCTCTCTGAAGGTAACTGAATCATTCCTCACACCCCTGCAAGAAGCCATCAATTGTGAAGAACTGTGGGAAATGCATTAGGAAAAAATCTTGAGTTGGTGTAATAAATAACAAAAATTCTTGGCAAAGTATTTTGTATTTAAGAAAGATGTATTTCTAGGCTCATGTAGCACGTAGGACTTGATTAACAATGTACCTAGAGCAAGTTATCCTGGATTCCAGTTGTATTCTGTCTTTAAAGGTGATTTAATTTTCAATCTTTATGTGCATACATCTGTATTTATGTGAAACTGTGAATTGTACATTGTTTTTCCCTCTTACCAGGACACTTAAATTAATTTTCCACCTACGTGTGTAATTCTAACTAACTCTAGGACTCCTTTTAAATTCAGACTTCTTTATTCCCCTCTAGACATGTTTCAATGTTCTTTAAACTTCACTTTACATTCATTGTTATTGTTGGTATTATTGTTTTTATGGTGGTGGTGGTGTATGAGTGTGTATGTGTGTACATGCTGTGTGTATATGGGCACATGGGCATGTGTGTGCAGAGACACAGAATTAAGGCACAGAACAATTCTGTGATATTGGTTCTCTCCTTTCACAGTCTGTGGATTCTGGGGCTTAAACTCAGGTCAACAGGTTTGTGTGACCCATGCCCCTACCAGCTGAAACATCTTGATGCCTTTCCTGTTTGTTTCTATAAAATTATCTTCTTTCTTATAGAATTGGATTCATTGTATCTCGAAGGCCCTGTCCTCTATTTTGGCAAATAAAAATCTGCCTTGTCACTTTATAAGTAGATCATTTCTTTTGACAGACACTGGTAGTTCATTTCATTCCATTTTATTTTAAAAATGATATCTCTGCAAAATTCACAATAAAACTTCAGGCTTCCTATTCTTCTCCCATAAACAAGATGGTGTTTCTCTGGTTATCATTGTTCTCAAGACTATTACATCAGTAAATCAGCACAAAATTAGTTATATGAGGAAATAAGTATTTTAAATGGTTAATTTCTTAATTTTAAGGAGTAAAATATATAGATAAGTCAAGTATCCTTATATCTCCTAAAGCAAGAATAGCCTGATACACAGTGCAAGAGCTGAATGGGAGAGTCTTGCCTTCATTCTTAAAGAACCCTGTTCCTATTTTTCTTTCCCATTTTTACAAGAATCGGTAAATAGTCTAGCAGCACTTTACATCAAGGAAAGCCACGGCTGCCACACAGGCGAGTAGAAATCCAACCACATCCAGAGAGTGGTACTGGTACCAGCTGAGATTATAGGTAAGTGGCTTCAGATGCTTGGCCCCTTTGTGGCACATGACAAACTCTATCCAGAAGATGGCTCTGTCCAGGGGCTTTATGGGCTGGTCATGGTGAATGGTTGACAACCACATCACATTCTCTTTATAGCTAAAGGGAGATATGATGGGCATTGACTTACAGAATGAAGGTGAAAACATATGTGTCTAAATTTCTGTGTATCATGATGATGATCACATGGAAGTATAAAGAAAATTATGGGCTCATCACAGTAAAGATCTTATTAAATAATGTATCAGCTAGAACTTCTTCAACACACAGGATTTAAATATATAAGAGAAATGCTAGGAAAAGCAAATATTCATAAATAAGAGATTGGACCCAGTTTACACCCCAAAGCAAAATAAACAAAATCAAAATGAGTTATCCTTTGAGGTTTTGAAACATGAGTCACTTAGAAAGCAATTACTAGTGTAGCTGGTATGAAGAATTCAGAACAGTAGAACAATTTGGAGATGCATAGCCAATGCATGCCATTTTTCACTGTGGTCCATATCTGGACAAAGCTGATAAGGAGTTGGGATTGATCAGGAATTTGTATTGACCACTTATCAGTGCTTATTGATTATAAACATAGATATGCAATGATTGTTCATTTACTAGCTTCTTCTTAGTAAAAGAAATTTACTAATTTCTTTTCATAAATTTCTCCTTCTAGTTATTAACTGTTAGATGAAAATAATAAAACTATACTTTCCTTTATTTGTTGGAAAATGTTTTTGACTCTTGGAACACTTTTAATCATTCTTTTTTTTTTTTTTTTGGTTTTTCGAGACAGGGTTTCTCTGTGTAGCTTTGCGCCTTTCCTGGACTCTCTCTGTAGACCAGGCTGGCCTCGAACTCACAAAGATCCACCTGCCTCTGCCTCCCGAGTGCTGGGATTAAAGGCGTGCGCCACCACCGCCCGGCTACTTTTAATCATTCTTACTGTAAATTACTTACTGTAAATTATTATTGCAATTACTGTTTATGCTTTTCTTTTACGTGTTGTGACTTTTCAATATTGAGACTACTCAATATTTTACACTGAAACATTAAAGAGATATTTGATTCTAGTGGCGAAATGATTACAGACCAGGATACATGGGAAAGGGGTCTATTTATGGACATGTCTCATCAAGTGTAAAGCTTAACATGCTGTATCATAACAGAGTACCAATGGCAATAGAGGCAACCTCCTTTCTTGTTATTTATAATATAAGGCAGCCATAATATACACAGACAAAAGACAGTGTATTTCAGACAAAGGTAGAAACAGTACTGTATTTTTGTTATACAGGACATGAGGCCTATAATAAGGATGTTGAACAGTTTACTCAAGACTAATACAGTGTGCGTCATAAGCCTTCAAAATGTATCATCTATTTAAGAAATCAGCTTCATCTAGTACTGGCGTCCAACGTGGTGGCAAGAGTTTCCACCTAAAACCTGAGAAAAAAGATTCTAAAACGGAGCTAAAAACAGCTTCCTAATTGTCTCTCTCAAATGAGCGGCAGCTGCCTGTTTGAGCTACTGGTGGGTTCCTAGCGTGCGTGCTCGACCTGCCTATGGCGGGAATGAGGCCTTTGCAAGTGGCACTTTGAGCTGCATGGTGGATTTAGCCTTTGCTGGTGCAGAGCAAAAGGGGAGGTTTCTGGGCTACACGCTGCTTGGCTAAAAGCATAGACCCCTGATAGCTCCCAGAGCTGGCGGTAAACCATGGCCATGTTGGGAAGCTGAGGTGGGTGGATCCAGCAGCCACAGCTGCTGCAGTTTAAGGCAATAGATTCACAATAAGACAGATTCAGATGTAATAGTTTACAATGTGTGTAAAAGATACATAGGCTTGAAAGAGACAAAAAAGATGATATATAGAGTTATAGAAACAAATACATAGTTTTAAAAAATAAAGTCTTTAAAGAGACAGTAAAGGTAGTATAAAAAATAAGCCACGTAAAAATGGATATTACACAGAGAATCTGCATTGTGTTGTCTTTGGGACTTTTAACTGCAGAAAAACATTTGATTGTAAAAGCTGTTGAGTTATGCCAAAATGTATATTTTAAAGGTACCTTGACTTCAAAATTTGGATATAAGGATATGTTACTTTGGAAAGGAGACTCTGCTTTTGTTTCCACAGAAAGCCAGAGGCTATGGATTTGTTCCAGATTAAGACACATCAGGTTTGACCAGCCAAGACCCCCTGAAAGGTCTCCGATGACACCATGGCCCAGATGATTCAACATCCAGAATGGTTTGAAGGCAACTGGCTCAGACGATACACCCTCATGGACTATTCCATAATCCTAAAATTTTCTTTGTTTCCCCATAAGATACAGCGCCCCCCTCCAGCAGGAAGTAGTAAGAGAAGCTACGCCCAAATTCCCAAATTATATGTAATTTTACTTTGTTAAGGTTAAAACCTTCCTTTTGGAAAAAAAAAAGGGGGGGGGAAGTGCTGTGGAATGTTCTGTATGGCAAATGTGTTGCTAATTAGTTAATAAATAAAACACTGATTGGCCATTGGCTAGGCAGGAAGTGTAGGCGGGACAAGGAGGAGAATAAAGCTGGGAAGTGGAAGGCTGAGTCAGAGAGACACTGCCAGCCGCCACGATGAGAAACAGAATGTGAAGATACCGGTAAGTCACGAGCCATGTGGCAAGGTATAGATTAATGGAAATGGATTAATTTAAGCTGTAAGAACAGTTAGCAAGAAGCCTGCCACGGCCATACAGTTTGTAACCAGTATAAGTCTCTGTGTTTACTTGGTCGGGTCTGAGTGGCTGTGGGACTGGCGGGTGACAGAGATTTGTCCTGACTGTGGGCCAGGCAGGAAAACTCTAGCTACATAGTACCATCATTATGTCTATTAAGGATTAGAAATGTAGGCAAGTATCCATACAAGAGGGTTTTTATCTAACCATCAAGAAAAATATTTTTCAAAAACTGTAAAAAGAAAATGTTTCACAAAGTGCTTATTAGAATAGCTAAAATTTGTTCAAATTGAGTTAACTTGCTTTAAAATGCATCTGTTGTTCTTTTGTCACCATTCTCTCTCTGTCTCTCTGTCTCTGTCTCTGTCTCTGTCTCTCTCTGTCTCTCTCTGTCTCTCTCTCTCTCTCTCTCTCTCTCTCTCTCTCTCTCTCTCTCTCTCTCTCTCTCCCCTTGGGGGTTTCAAGACAGGGTTCCTCCGTGTAGCAGGCCTAGCTGTCCTGAAACTTGGTCTGTAGACCAGGCTGGCCTCAAACTCATAGAGATCCACCTGCCTCTGCCTCCTGAGTGCTGTGATTAAAGGCGTACACCACCTCTGCCCAGTTATTCTTTCTTTCTTTTCTCTCTTCTCTCTCTCTCTCTTCTTCTTCCTCCCTTCCACCCTTCCTCCCCCCCTTTTTTCCTTCCTTCCTTTCTTTCTTTCTTTCTTTCTTTCTTTCTTTCTTTCTCCCTTTCTCCCTTTCTTCTCCATTACAGTTCTAAACAAAATTTTTATGCATGAAATGCATGTATAATATTGTTGATGAAAGAGCCTATAAAGAGGAAGCATAATTTAATTTAATGTTCTGAAGTATTTTGGAAAGTAAATCATTATTGTGTAAGGTATTTGGCAATTGAACAGCAATATGCCAAGTTCTGTCTTTCAAAGCAATTTTTTTAAATTACATAATTCTTCTACACAAGGCAACCACAACTTAAAAATCTAAGGATATGCACTATTTATAACTAGAATCCTCTTTTTTGATGTTATTAATTAACAAAAATCAAAGCTCTATTTTTCACCACAGATCAGCAATAGAATCAAATATTGGCAAATACAAATTTGTAAAATTAAATATAATTGGAATTAGAGATTAATGTTATCCTACTGGTTAACAAAAAGCCATTTTGAGGAGATTTTTTTTAAATAAAAGAAAAATGGTGGCTGGGTTCACTTGCTTCACTCTACTACAATTTCAACTACCAGTAGGTATTTTAACAAATAAAACTGTATTATTCTAAAATTAAATCTCTGATAATTTTTTTAGTAAAACTATTGCAAAATACTTTGGTCTAGGGTATTGGCACATATTTTTTATTCTAGAACTTTATAGGATGAAAGAGGAAGACGTCAAGTTAAATCCAGACTCTGTCTAAAATAAAGTAATGAGCAAACACATTGACATTCCCTCACTATCCAATGTAGGTCTTTGTATGTATCATTGTTTCTTTAGGTTAATTGCTGCTCTCTGGACCTTCTGGTGAGAAATGATCTATATTAAATAGGCTAGTGGCATAGCTCAGTGACAGAATAGTTGCTCAGCATGCATGTGTAAAGTCCTGGGTTCTGATACAAGACAAATAAATAGATAGACGGTTACACTCACGAAGGGTTGTTAACGACTGCCTTCAGTGCATTAAGCAGATCTGCACTTGTCATTGTATGAAAGTCAACTGCAACAGCTGCTCCTTTGGCCACCATGTGAGCAACATTATCATGTTGTTCCGCAAATAAAGGGATGCCAACAATTTGTACCTATGCCACGATGTCTCTCTCCCCATATGCATACACAGTAGTATATATGTACACACATACATCACACAAATTAAAAATTAATGGAAAATAATGTTATATGGTTGCTAGTGATATAAAATTGCAAGAATTCTTTGGCTATCATATTATGTGTCATTAAAGAAAGCTTACTCTCTATAACTGTCTTACAACTCTTGTGGTGATATATTGTGTCCCCCAATATATTGTGCACCCTAATAAATCTTATCTGAGGATTAGAGGAAAAAGCCAGCCACTATATTAAGCATAGAAGTCAGGCAATGTTTGCACATACCTTTAACCCTAGCATTCAGGAGGCAGAGATCTATCTGCATCTGTGTGAGTTCAAGGCCACACTGGGGAACAGAGCCAGGCACAGTGACACACACATGCTTTTTTTTTTTTTTTTTTTGGTTTTTTGAGACAGGGTTTCTCTGTGTAGCTTTGAAGCCTGTCCTGGAACTCACTCTGTAGCCTAGGCTGGCCTTGAACTCACAGAGATCTGCCTGCCTCTGCCTCCCAAGTGCTGGGATTAAAGGTATGTGCCACCACTGCCCGGCCTGACACACGCCTTTAATCCCAGTACTAACCATAGAAGTCTGGAGGTCTGTAGAGACAGACAGAAAGTGATGTAGCTGGGCAGAGAGAGGAAATGAGATGGCAGAACAGAAAGGCTATAGGCATGAGTATACAGGAAGTAGGTCTCTTTGGAGGCTGAGGAGTTGGTGAGGTGAGGTTGGCTGTGGCTTGTCCTATTCCTCTGATCTCTTGGTTTTCACCCCAATATCTGCCTCCAGGTTTTTTATTTATAAGGCTGTTTAGCAATTTGTCTTACAAAATGTAATGTTCATTTCATATCAGATATTGTCAGAATGATTGGGTAATTTACATCTGTTTTCATAAGCAGGTGGTAAGAATAACTAGGTGTTCATGTGCAGTATATATTTTTTCCTGTGGTTATTCCGGCAAGCAGCCATGATGCCAGGACCCTGTTCCTCAATGAAGTTTTAGTGGTCTCCTGTAGTCTGGCATAAGATACAAAAATACATCATCAGTCTTCCCAGGGAATGAGCCTCAAACTCATTATCCAATACCAAGAGTTCCCCCCCTTAATAACGTGTGCATATGAACAACACTCAATGGACTCAAACATTGTATTATACATTTTTCTATGTGTGTGTGTATGTGTGTGTGTGTGTGTGTGTGTGTGTGTGTGTGTGTAATGACAATTAAATAAAAACAAACAAACAAACAAACCTCTGCATCAATAGAGTAAACTATCCCTTTTATGCCCTAAGCTACAAAACTGTGAGATCTCAAGTGAGTAGTGAGTTAATTAGTAGACTGAAACCAAGGAAATGTTGAGTTTTTCTGTAAAGTCATTGAAGCCAAAAATTCACGATATTGAAGAATGGTCTTTTGCTTATGCTAAGATACTGTTGAAGAATCTTGGCAGGATACATTTTAGGTTTACACTTTTTTCATCCTGTTTCCAAAATTTATACATTTACCTTCATAAGTATGTATGGTATATGTCTTTTTAGGACACTGCCTGAGAATGTATTAAAATTCTCATTAGTATTGAGCAAGATGAATATAAATTTTCTTCAAATGTAAGATAATCAGTAGGTTTAGTAAGTCATTATGGTTTGAATGCAAATGTCTCCCTTCACGCTCATTGTTTTTCCCCACTTCTGATTCTTTCTCACTGGAAGAAAAACTAAAAGAATGGTGTAGAACCATTTTTACTGAAATGAAATAAAATGAAACAAAACTAAACTAAAAGGTTGTACTTATCTTAGGCAAGGGTTTGGCAGGTTTGCAGTGGAGTTCTCCAACAAACTCCATGTTTGGTAAAGATGGGCGAGGAAACTCTAAATCCCAGTAGGACTGAATGAGCCACATTTCTGCTTTCTTCATTGTGTCAACCATAGTAGTAGGTCTTCCTAAATAGAGAAATGAGTTGGAGATGAAAGAGCAAAATGGTAATGAAAGTATTGCCACATGAATAAAACATATATTGCTCCCTGGTGATGTGAGTAGCAGTCCAGTCATCCTTGTTCCACATCTAGTATCCTCCTATGAGTGAGTACATACCATGTTTGTCTTTCTGAGTCTGGGTTACCTCACTCAGGATGATTTTTTCTAGATCCCTGAGGCCTATGCAGGATCACTTGGCTCAGCCTGGGAGGAGGGGACTGAACCTACCTGGACTGAGTCTACCAGGTTGATCTCAGTCCGCAGGGAAGGCTTTGCCCTGGAGGAGGTGAGAATGGGGGGTGGGCTGGGGGGAAGGTGAGGGGGGCGGGAGGAGGGAGAACAAGGGAATCCGTGGCTGATATGTAGAACTGAATTGTATTGCAAAATAAAAATTAAAATATATATATATATTGTCTGAAAAATGTTGGAATAATTTTACTCAATGAAACAAAGTGTACATTCTTGGAAAAAATATATTTACTTTATGTATAATGCAATTTTTGTGGTTTACATAATATATGTATATTAAAGATAAACTGAGATGAAATGCTAACGTCACCTCAATAATTCAGCAATCCTATTTGTTATATAATCCATGAAGCCCCGATGTATCTGCCATGCATTTTGTTCTTCTCTAAAGCTTCAGAAAAGCAGATACAAATATAAAGGAGCATTCTAGCTCTAGAGTCAAGCTATCTCAGCATAATTATGGACACAACTTGTGCAGGAATCATGTTAGTTTCTACAACAAACAATCTACCCCTTGACTCTTCCTTTCCTAAGAAGCCCATTAGAGGGTTATGCTTGGAAGAATTTATGACATCCATAACTACTTTTCATTTGTATTAACAATGTAATAATATGTATTTCTTTGTAGAAATATTTACAAATATTATCTGGAAAACATGAGAGCAGAAATTTTTGCTCTTGCTTAATTGTGGCTTTCTTTCTTAAACTAGGAGACCATGACTGCCAACAATACCAACGAAACATATTTAGGTCCAAGCTTCAGTAGTTTAGGTCTTTAAAATGGAGGTTTGGACATGATGTTGTAGTGAGATTGTTGTACAATATTATGTTTTATTTAATCATTTCAGCATGAAAGACATGCTTGCATCTAAGAATATCTTTAAGAGCAATGAAAGGTAGGCCCTCACCCTGCTGATGAGAGACACAACTTACTTAAAATTTCACTGAACAATGGATCCCAATCCTTATGAGGAAATGACTCAGAAAAAGTCAAAATAAAGCAAACATATCATATTTTCTACCCTCTCCATGAATGTCACTTGGCGACTTAACCCAGACAAAACAATAGGTACATAGGAGGGAGGGAATATAAGTCCCCCACTGTACTTTTCTATTGCGTAGCCATTACCAAAGCGAAGACTGTACACAAAGGGTACTGGGAGTAACTCAGCTATCAGCTCACCACAGGGACCAATAGCATCTGAAAGAACAACATCAAACTTGGATTTCTGTAGTTTTGATATAAGTTGTTTGTTCGAAACTGCTTCTCTACAAAGCTTTAACCACAAATCAAAAAATTGCCCAAACATTATGTTCATCGATGGGTAATATCTCCAACATGTGTCTTTTGGCACATCATATACCCACATATTGACCCATTGGGTAAAAAACTTTTCTACTTCATCATTATTGGAAGCGGTAGGAAATGTTTCATATTTAAGACCAGATGGTTTTTGGGGATCGAGAAAGATAGAAGATGAAGGTCTCAGAACAGTCACTTCATGACCCCTTTGTACAAGTTCATCCAGTATTATCTTTAAATTCATCCAGTGACTGTATTCCATAGGCCATACCAACACCTTCCCACAGTTCCCCTTATCTGAAGTAGCAACTCATCTGCAGCAGGAACAGAACAGACATCCACTTCACAGGCATCCTGGGAAATCAAAGTCCTTCTGTTCACAGTGTGTTTCCTTCTGTCACTACTTGCACTTTTATCTAAGAAGAAATTAGCCCAGAAGTTAATATATAACTTGCATTGATTAAAGCTGGAAGCTGAATGACCATCAGTATGTTGAAGGACAAAATAGAGAAGACTAATTTTATTTGCTATCTTTTACATGAGTGTGTTTAATGTGTCTTTTATGATGAAGTGTTTTCAATAAGCCAGGAGCTGATGACTGCATGTTCAATCATCTATGATGCATAAATACTTGAATAATCTATAAAATGTCTCTCAATAGCAGTGAGAGGAGTAATGTGGCTGCTTTCTGAATTCTCCTCTAAACAAATTGGAAAGCATATTAATTTATGCTTTCAGCAGATCATTATTTCTTCAATAGAATGAATCAAAAAATTTTGTAATAATGTTCTTAAATGTACTTATTACATAAAATTCATCAACTTAAACTGTGTGAGAAATGTTTTATATTATATTTGCAATAAAGCATAAATGCCTTGACTACAAGTTTGCAAGAATTTCATGAGAAGTAGTAACCTTTTTCAGTCATCACTTTGGCAAAGCCAAAAAACCTGTGAAAGTGAAAAAAGCCATTCTACTAGCACGTTCTAGGAAGGGCCAAAGTATAAAAGGATGTGTTGAGATTGCACACCCTGGGTGTAAGGGCCGGAAGTAGTGGATGGCTGGGGCAGAATAACATCCTCTGGACATTACAGAACCATTACACATATGAATCACAGGCTGTGGCTGGATGCACAAAACCCCCAGAAGATTAAACCAGCCATAATCCCAGAATGGATAGGGGGATACTTGGAGTCCCATGTCTACCTGAGGACTTATTGGTAGGTGATGGTTGCTAGGGAGGAAGAGTGAGAAGCTCCAGTCTTGAGAGGGGTAATCATGCTCCAGGAGATGACTTTATACCCATCCACAAACTCGCAGTATGAGTAAGTGAACTCAACTGGGTTTCAAAAGTGAACTTCTGAAGATGGGAGTGAAAAACAGTGTGGGGTAGTGGGAAAAATGGAGGGGGGAGCTGGTGTTTGATCAATACTGATTATATACTTGTCTCAAACTGTCAAAAAATAAAACAATGGTCTTATAAAAGGAAACTGAGCACAAGGCATCTACAGTCTTGGCTCAGAAAGAAACTTTGAACCACAGGGAACTTAACCTGGCATGGAGAAAAGAAGCAGGGGCTCCTAGAGCTTCTTGTCATGATCTGGGTAGAAGAAGACCTTGTTTCTCAGAATATTTGCAGCCGGTTTGGTGAACTTCACAGTTAGCACACAATTGTGTATTGCCAGAGTAAAATAACCCAGTACATGTTTTTCCCTCTATCACCAGATCCTCCTGCATAGATCATCTTGAGATGTGTTGTAAGTTATCTGGCCAACTTGCCCATGGCCCCTGTATCTTAGGTCACCCTGCTCTGTAATCCTATTACCTAGCCTGTGTACATTCACAAACCGAGAAGCATATGGAAAATCTATTCTATATGTTTCACTCAGTAGAATCCCTTGTAAAATAACTTAATAAATATGCTCACTCTTCTGCTACCATTATAGCATTCACCAGAGCATTTTTCAATTTGCCTCTACAAAATAGCTTGGCTGAATGCCTGAATGGATTTCAGAGAAGGACCCATGACCCCACCAAAACAGTTAAATAGAATGCCCTAAGTGATTTTTCTCAACCAAGGCTCTCACAAGCCAATTGCCTGCTTTGACTTATTTATGTATGCCTCTAACATGCTTTAATAACTGATTACTTTTTCTCAGAATCTCAGTGTCTCATAAAGACACTGATAAGTATTGAATAAATGCATCTATATACCATTCAAATCCAGGAAACAGCATATCTGCTATTCCTGAGAATGTCAACTCCTACAAGTTCATCCATGCAGCCACTGGATGCTGATTCATGTTCTACTCCAGGCCCTTGATGTGGTCCAGCAATCCCTTAAGATTTCAGGTTGGTATCCTATCTACTATGTTACATCCATGAATGGACATGCCTGGACTCAACATGGTGACCCCATCCTATATAACCTGTAGAAAATGCAGAGCTGATCATGTCATGCTAAAACTAGTAGTTACCCAGCTTGCTAGAAAAGTTGAAAAGAAAAATTTGATAAAAGTGCACAACCCATTCAGCCTAGGACAGAGAAACATACACCAATATCACTGTTTACTATAGCTGAAGACGCTGTAAAGGCACTGTACTAAAACACTCCCCTAGAATGATAGTCATATAGTTACCTGAACACAGTAAAAAGTATCATTGAGAAGTTTTAATTATTTAAAAATAATATCTACTCATTAGTTATTTTTGTCATCATTAGGTGAGTGCCTGACAAAAAAACAAGTTATAGGAGGAATGGTTTATGTTGGCTTATATTTTAAGCAATTGGTGTCCATCATGTCATTGAATCTGTAAGAATGTTCATGGTGATGAAAGCCTTCACAGTTATTCCTTGTATGCTGTAGAACTAAAAAGTTAATATTCTTTGGAAATGCCTGCACATAAATACCCAAGAATTATATCATAACGCCCTAGGCATTTCTTAATCAAGTAAAGTTAATAATAGAAACTAGCCACTATGCAATCCTACATATAAAATAAATACAGTTGACTTGCTCTGTGGGCAAATCACAACAAAGTGATACAAAATTTATAAAACAATAAGACAACATATGACTCTAAAGGAGAAACAGAACTATAAGAAACTGAAATAGACATATTTCCTTATAAATCTTATAGTAAATTAGAAATAAGAAATGGAGTTAATCATATAGGCAAATAAAGTCAATACAAGCAATATTGGGATTAAACTATTCTCAAAACCCAACTGACCTAACTAATGTTGATAGCAGATTTTACACAATAGTTGTGGGATATATATTCTATCATCAGAACATGGCACATTCTCCAGGATCTATCAGTCATAAATTAGGCTCACAAAAATGATGTCAGTAAGTTCTGAAAACGTAAACGTTTAATCTTTCACTATTTATTCTTTTACAATTTCAACAAAATGATTGCTCTCACTTTATTTTTGAAGTACCCTGGTGGTTTGACAGCCAGGAGAAAGATGTTAGGTGAAATCAGAACCTTGTGAGGTTGGAAGTGTTACATGTAACCTCAGCAGATCCCACACACTCTGTATTGCTTGTCAAGCAAACAACAGAAGTTTGGAATGCAGATCTTCTGAATTCTAACCTCTGTTGCAGCTGAATTCTAACCTTCCATGATTTCAAGGTCTCTCAGCACATTTCTTTCCTTTGGTGGCAACTCAGGTTATAAGTATCTCTCTATATAAAATTCATTGTCCTTCCTCACCTCCTCTAGTATGTAGGTAGATGTGTGACATCAGGCTGCTATGTACTCTTCAGAGGAGTAAACAGACCATCCTTTACTAATCAATGTAAGTGACTAAAACTGCATGTTAAAGAGTCCTGGGTCCATCGTTCCTCCCTCCTTCCTTCCTTCCTTTCTCCTTTCAATCTTGACTTCCATTTCCTTGTCTATATTTGCTTCCTGTGCTGCTCTAGTGGTTGGAGAGATCCATGGGTCCTTCCTTCCTTCCTTCCTTCCTTTCTCCTTTCAATCTTGACTTCTATTTTCCTTGTCTATATTTGCTTGCTGTGCTGCTCTAGTGGTTGGAGAGATCCACTGGATCATGGAGAGATCCAGAGATCCATGAGAGGGGACTATAGCACCAACAGAGGATGACTTCTTATTGTATATGTCACACACACCCTAACAATGACAGTATCTTTTAGATACGCTTCTATTTCTACTCTTCTATGTGCCAAATCTTGAAGTGCATTGGACTTGAATCTGGCCACTGCAGACCTATTACAATGAAGACTGTTTCGATTGTCACAGATTCATGTCTGAAAAACACTTAACACTGATTGTCTGAGAGACAAATGTCCTCTAAAGACAATACAGAAACAACTACCCCTACCAAATAATAATGGCAGGAATGTCTGTGTTCCTTGGGACTACCACATTCTTTGTGTTCACCAAAATTGCTGCAGTTCAAATGAATAAGTAGATTTTAGAGATCAGATTTCATTTTTGAATTTAAAAGTAGGTCAGAAGTGAATCATTTCTTCCACCAAGCAACATATTCCATTATTTTTGAATTTAGTGTTACTCAAGTTCTCAGAACATAAATATAACACAATCAGATTCTTCACTAGAATACAGCATAAATGGCCACTAACACAGACCCTGACAAAATCCTCATTATCTGCTGAAACCTCATGAACCCAGTTTATACTTTCTACACCTTGTTTTTTCATTTTCTGGTCTTCTAGGCTCCAATCCAAATGTCCACAGAATTGGCTTACAGAATTCTAGATTCTTGCATTCTCACATGTCCAAATTTTTCCATTTTTCTTTGAAAAAATCATTAGACAATGATTTGTGAACCCTGTAGCCAGGCTATCATGGTAATGAGCCCATTTATCATCACTAATTTTCTGTATTGGTTACTATTCTCATCATCATAACCAAACAACCTACAAAAACTCAGTTAGAAGAGGAGGGGTTTGTTTATGCTTTTATTTTTAGGGTTGTACAAGACAGGAAGAGTCACACCTATTGCATCAGGAGTGTGAGGCATTTATCTCACATTTGAGTGAATCAGGAAGAAACTGGACATGAAACAGGACCATAATATAGATTGTAAAGCACCGCCCCCCTCCACTCCCATGACCCATTTCCTAGAACCTGGCTCCATCTCCTCCATGTTTCCCCACCCCACAAAATAAGTCTAAAATGGAGGATCAAATATTCAAAGACATACATCTATGGAATATTGAAGTCATAACATATCTTATGACTTTCTAATAGAGGACTAAGAAAATAGAATCTACCTTTTCACATATTTCAAGATAAAATATGAATACCATGCTTTTTGCTTAATGGAAAATGGGAAGCAGGAGTATCATTCCTACATAAC